GTTCATAAAGCCGTGCCAGGGGACTTGCAATGACCCCAGCCAGTTCCTTCAGGACTCTAAGGTGAAGATCATCTGGGCCAGCTGACTTAAAAATGTCCAGCCCCTCCAGAAGCTCCCTAACTAAATCCTCACTCACTCTAGGCTCAGGTGAGCCTCCCCCGGGGCCCAAAGGAGGCCCAGCAGGGAGGTGGCAGTTCTGGTCCTTACTGAGGAAGACAGGCAAAGAAGTTATTAAAAATGTTGGCTTTGTCGTCTGGCGTGACAACCAGATTCCCCATCTTTTTAGGGCCTTACATTTGGTTACAGCCTACTCAGAGATACCACTGGCTATTAAAAGCTACTACTCTAATCACCTGTGTGGTTTTGCGCCAGTGGAAACGTTCACAGCTGTGGTGGCAGCACATTGGCAGAAGGGCTCAGTTCCTGCCTAAATATTGCAGTAAAAAAAGACAAAGCCAACAGTAACCAGTAAACTAACTTTTAACAGAATTTAGTACTGAAGTGGTCAGCTGCGCTGCGCTGGAGGCCTATCTCCTCCATTCCTCCCTTCAAAGGCAAGAGCACAATCAGCACCTTGCAAACGTCAACCACGTACTTTGCCACCAGCCATGCCTCAATGCAAGAGGTCACTTTGCGTTAAGGACTGAACTGTTTGATGTCCACGGCCCACTGGTCCTTGGCCTGCCACTTATCATATGGACATCCGCACGTTAGGAATGAGCTTGAAGTCGCCACTTTAAGAAATATTTACATACAGTGTAATGCAAGGGTCATCTCCAATGCAATACGTTTGACAAGGAGTGCGCTTCAGTATTTATACTGCACTGGAAAAGGTGTCCTCAGCTTCTGTCTGTCACCAAAGATCTGCAGCTGCATGTCAGTGGGTTGGCACCAGCTGCAGTGTAGCAAATGCCCAAAAGCACTGTCTAGGAGTACAGAGCTCTGCACAGGTGTTAGCTACCTGAGTATTTACTCAGCTTCTCAGGGTGATTTTGAAGCCTGAGCTCTACGCTGCTGTGGCCAGGCTGCTACTAGTACACAAGGAGCTCATTTAAAGCTGGCTCGTTCACTGAAGTTACAGCAGTGTTGCAACACAGACGTATGCGAAGCAGGAAGCCCTCGTACCTATAGACAACAAAATATTAGGTATGTTTTTATTGGCAGCTATGAACCGAGGGCAGAGAGAGGAGGACAATTCTCCATCAGTGAAACAGGCCATTCCTTGCAATATGTAGTTAACAACTGGCATTCAAATCTTTCAAGTGTTTACTTCAACAAACCTAAGCTGCATCTTGAATTCTTTATTGTAGAGCCACTGCCAAGCTAGCTACAAGCATCGCAGATGCTGATTTCACTGCTATCAAATAAAGATGCTGTTTTCCTTAATGAAGAGTCATGTTTCATCACTGGTGCAAAGCAAGTCCAGCCCACTGATCTGCTGCTAAAGGCCGCTGAAACAAACACCCACGTGAGACTTAACTGCACTATGGTACTGACTAAGACGGAGGCAACTGTTCAACACAGAGGCTGTACAGACACTAAACGATTAAGAAACATGCTGACAAGTGCCTCCATGTCAGGAGGCCAAGGTCAGGACATGCTCAGCACATAAAACTGAACTTTGGAACACCCTTCCCCTCCAGCTCCGACAGCACCTGAGCGCAGATGCACGGCAAGGCCTACGACAGACGCTCTCCAGTTCCGTGTACTTCGATTTGTGAAGGCCCATTTTTCATTTTAAGGAAAATGGAGGATTAAGTAACTTTCCCCTGTTGCACCGTTGTGTTAATTTAAATCAATTTTTGTGCCTGTTTTCTTTAATTTGAACGCAAACAAAATGCCTTCCAAAGGACAAGATGCAGTGATGGATCATTAAAATCACAGTCCATAAAAAAAACAAAATGCAGCGGCAGCGAAGCAGAGCCAACTTCACCAAAACCAAAGCAGCCTTCCCCATCCCCGAGCCATTGCAAGATCGCTGCACGTCCTGTGGCCCAAGACTCAAGCATCCCTGCACAGTAGCACAAACCAACGCATTGAGCGGTGTGTTCTGAAGCTCAGCAAGCGGGGACCTTTCACTTCACCAGGGATGGAAAGGAAGCTGATTTCCAAGTCACAAGGCACTCAAAGAGAATGCCTTGGCAACTTGGAGGCAGCTCTTGCTGAAGCACTGGCACCGAATGCAACTCTGGCAGCATTTCACAGGGGGAGGGGAATGCTTTAAACTGCTGCCTTATAAAAATCAAACCAACACCAAGTTCCCAAAATTCTCTTTAATCCACTGCACATTTTACTTTGCAACATGTCTTAGGATGAAAAACTTAGTTCCGAGTTTGATTTGCTCCAAAACTGTAAAGCAGAGAGGCAGCTAAACTCCAAACGAAGAAAACACATCTGACCCAGGGCAGCGTTTACACGTGGTGGCTGTGTAAGCAGCATGCTTAGCATCCATGACTAACTGCTGCAGTCCCACAGATGGAAGATGTCAGTATTACCATGACTGTCTACTGCCACGCTACAGTTTCGGATTTACCGAAAAATAATCAAAGAGAATATTCGCAATTATTAATATTTGTTTAAACTTTGTCAAGTTCACACCCGCACTGTGCAGAACTGGGGAAGCTGTAATTAGCTTCAGATTGAAAATTGTGAATCATTAGTCTGTGTGATTGCAGGTAACACTATTTAGCATTAACTTGACATTTGAGATGCATGGTGCTAAAGAGGACTTTACTGGAATGATTTGATAGTGCTGGCTAATTATAGTACACTTGAATTAATCCCATTCTCTGAACAGAAGCTGAGTTTTCTTTGGGAAATAAAGGGATTGCTTTGAAACAGTGATGAGGAATTCCAAGAACGTTGCATCATTTACATCAGTCCTGACCACAGGCAAAGCGAAGATATCATTTGACCACTGTGATTTCACCCACTTCAAATAGCAGCGAACATCACTATGGAGATAACTTCCAGAAATTGTATTTCATAGCCTTGTGACACTGAGTTATCAAATAGAGCACAATTAACTTGCACAGAAATCGGAGTCCCTGACCATTTTCGTGTGTCTCACACACCAGGAAAACAAAAACCCACTTGATGGGAAAAGTGAGCAGGAAAAAGCGAGAGAGACTCATTCACAAGTTCCTTTAAATCTACCTTTACTGCAAATGATTCTCTTTGACAGTTTCACCCCGATTTGTACAGCCATATGTTACGTACCTTTATACTTGTATGCATATATTATAGCCATGGGAATAATCACTACCCCGCCATCACACTGCCCCAAAGGTTAAGCTCTGGTATTAAACTTGCTGTGTAGTCCTGCTCACTATAGACCCAAGGTAAAGTGCTTAGTTTATCTGACAATAGCCTAATTAAAAAACTGAAAAAAAATCCCATTTGCCATGTAAATCTCAGATAAAAAGAAAAGTAGCATATCCCTTCTTAAATTCAGAATCCATATTTATCAAAGTGGTTCAAAATTAATCAGCACAGTGCAGAATCTCCTGCTTGCCCTGGGGACATCTGCCATTTCATTCCTAGTCAGTCCCAATGTTTTACACATACCCAGCACACACGCTTCATTTCTTATCTTTTTGAGCTTCTTTGAGAGAGAACTGTTTGTAGCGTTACTGGATTTTAAGATTATATAGATGTTAATCCACTAAGAGATGTGACTGGGGCCAAAACCCAGAGATCCATGCCTTTAGAAATACCCACCTCTGCCTTCAGTAAAGGGACTACAATCCTTGCCGATGCCTCTTGCGGCTGCAGGAAACATTTGTTTGAAAGTGCCAAGCCACCTTACACATATCACATGCACACGCTGCATTTCAGCGGTTGCAACTAGAAATTATTCACTGTGACACATGGATGTTTAGATGAGCTACAATGCTCACATCAGGACGCAGCTGAACACCAAGCGATCGGAAGACAGAGAGGAAAGGAAATATCCTAAGCAGAACAAAAGAATGAAATTTTAATGCTGAAGCTATAAAACAACCATGGGAGGGCAACCCTTTGCTGCAAGACCAAAGCTTTCCATCAGACTCGTTTCTGTAGCAGGCGACCACAGGGCAAGCATTTTTAACAGGTCTGTCAGGACTAACGCTCTGCAAAGGGCAAGTCCTACTTTATCCAAAAATGGCAGGACGCCTCGAAAAAAAAAAAAGCTGGTTCTTTCTGTGTTGCTTTTATCCTGACCATCTTTCCTCCACTGATTTTAGAAGGAAAGAATCTGTTTGTAATAAATATTCTTATCTGTATTGCCATAAGCTTCCCCCCCGGCCTCAACTCCTGCCAGATTTTACAAGGCCCTCGCAGACAATCTGTGGGTCCCTAGTAAGCTGACAACTACCCTGCAGGGGTTCCCCTTCCTCCGAGCGCCACCAGCTCGCAGAAGACACACTTCCTACACGCTCCTCATGTGCCAGACACCAGCACTCCGGTTCTCAGAGCGCTTTGGAGAGGGGGCACCGTGCCACGAACGCAAGAGAGACGCGGGAGCAGGAGGTCAAACCGAAGTTACTCGTGCCAGCTTCACGCTGTGGGGAGCTGCAGACCAAACCCACGGACGGAAGGCGAGTCTCACAGGAGGGCCCACGGTGAGACCGTGTTTGCTCGGCCACGAACTTCAGCGACAACAAGAGCGAGTGACCCCGGAGAGCAGGGTGGCCCCCAGCCCCACGCCTCGCAGCGGAAGGGAAACGGAGCGCGCCGGTCGGACGATTTAGGGCAAAGAGCGACGCGCTCTCCAAGTGCCAGCAGCACCGTGGCAGTGGAGGCCCCATCGCTCGTGCTGCCACGGCCTCAGTTTCCCCGGGGAAGGAAGGAGGCAAAACGCAACGTCTGGACGAGACAACGAGGGCGCTGGAGCAACCCGACGTCTCCCGGCGCAAACCCTTGGGGGCCGGTTGTGAGGGGCGCTCGGGGCAGCGCCACCGACCCCCCCCTCCGCGGTGGGGAAGGAGGAGCCGGGCGAGCGCCGGCAGGGGGCTCACCTGGGCGCACGGTCTTGAGGCGCACGGGCTCCCTGAAGTGCCGGATGACGGCCAGCGTGTCGCGGTGCGTGAGGCCGCTCACCGGGGTGCCGTTCACCTCTAGCAGCACGTCCCCGGGGTTGGGCGGCTTGCCGGAGAGCAGCGCGGGGCCGGGGCCGGGGCCGGGGCCGGGCTCGGGCAGGCGGACGCCCAGGTAGGGGAACTCTCCGCGCTCGGCGCCGCCGCGCAGCA